TATTTTAAAATAATATTTTTTATTTTTTAAAATTTATTTTTATTGATAAAAAAACATCCAATTTGAGTTTTTAGCCATGATTTAAGTTTTTCTTTTAAAAACTTTTTGATGTATATTGAACTTAGGACTTGTAGGTGATGCAATGATTGTTTACTCATAAAATTTTTGTTGTAGAGTATGGATAAAAATCAAAATTCTTGTTTTATCATGTAAAAGTTATAACCATGTGTCATTCTTTGAAGGACGAGTTCATTATATGAAAACATGTTCATATATTTAACATACATGTTTCCAAGTTGAAACATAGATTTCCTACCTAAGGCCTACTATACTTGACTGAGAGAAAAGATGGAAAATAAGAAAAGGATCAAATAAAAGCTTATTATCAAAAGAAAATTTAAAGCATAAAAGGTGAAGGAGTTAGGCTCACAAATCTACTCGAACTACTGTTGAGTTTTAAGAATGGAAAGGGAATATCTGTATAGCCTTCCGTGGAAGCATCGCCAGCCCAAGTTCCTCACAAATCTCAAAATCAAGGGCAAACTTAGTAAATAGGCAATATTTTTGTCCATTTTCCTTTCATCCAGTCAACTCAAACTTAAGTCATCTTGGATCCAACAATAGCAAGAACTTTTAAAAATAGATGGGTTACTCTATAAGAATGATTGAGAGTAGTTGAAGGAAATAATCTAACTAACCTTGTATTAGTAGCTAAAGTTTGTTTAGTTCCAAACATTATGGTGTCAAAGGAGATGAGGCAACACATGTTTAACCTCCACTGATATAGACTTAAATGATGATGTTGTTCACCAACACCTTCCACTCTCCTTATTATGAGCATTTGATGAGAAGCTTAGCTTAATATTTTTAGGATATAGTGAAGATTGCTGAAATAAATGAGCAAGCTATCAACAAGGGAAAAATTGGATGTCCTACCATGAATTCCAGAACAATGATGAGAAGTCAATCATAAGAAGGCTCTTAAGTGAAAAATCTTAGTTGTATGGTCTAGCCAAGTCTCGTTTTAGTATTAATTGTTTACGTGCTTCTGTCAAAGATTAATATACATTTGCCACTCGAGTTTGTCTACCAGTATCTGATAAATTTTAGACTTATTGCCTTAGCTCTATCAAATCTCATGCAATCACCATTTTTTATGTGATATAATCTAGACGAGAGATGTGAATATCAAGGTAGGGTCTTGGGCCATTTGGTTGGTGAGAAAATTTTGGAATTTATGAAGAGAATGAGCATTGTATTTTACTTCAATGTATTTTCATATATCATGAACGCATAACATATTTTTAACGAATTGTACTTTGCTCTTTGTCTTGAAATAAAGAGATGTTTCTTTCAAATGGTATTTTGAAAAAATATTTTAATCAAACTCCAATGTGCGAAATTAAAGCTAATCAATCCTAAAAAATTAAAGGTGTTTTGATTGCAGAAATAACTCAGTGTTTGTTAAAATGACATGATAAACAATGTGGGAGTGACCAAACAAATTTTGGGCTCACATACAAAATTAAACCACACATCATAAAGCTAAGTTTTAGTAGTACACATAATGACACATAGTGAATTTTGTAGTTATGGACTTGAGAATCATGATTCTTTACAAGTTTAAATCATTATATTGGACGATGTTAAAATTTATTAGTTTTAGCTAACCCTGCTTGAAAAGAAAAAAAGGTCATCTTTTTTTATTCCCTTCACTATTCTTAAAGTATATATTCCTCACAAATTCTAATTTGATCTTAATGGAATCTTTTTTTAAAAAAAAAGTTTGAAATAAAAAAAAACCTTGACATAGATCACAATCCATATTAGGGGAAAACTATGGGTTTTCAGTTGAAAAACAAAGACAATAGTAGAATTAATGGTAAAAAGAAAAATGCTAAGAACAAAAGTAAAAGGACTAAAAATGAACAAGCTCTAGATTGGAGGGCTTCCAAGGAAACTTTAATGAAGGTTATGTGAAAGCCAAAAAAAGTATACATCACTTGCATTTAAAGGCAAATCAAGGTTAAAGGTAGGAAAAATTCTATCAAGTCTGAAAGGGCATAAGAGGGTTTTTTTTTTAGGAAGGGCACAACAAATTTCAAAAGTCGATGTCGAGGGAGAGAGTTCAAGAAAAAAAAGAATGTTGAACCATGAACACATGTTTTGGTATCTACTATAAAACCTCTAATGTCTTTAAATTATTAGATTGGTTATCCATCAAAGAAAAAATTTGATTTGCATTACAACCTCTATCAAGAGAATATTGATCTTTTAGGTGAACATAGAATGAGTGGCATTGTTATATGTTATTCTTTTACATAGATAGTGAAATAGAAATAAGGAAATAATAAGGCTAATGATTGGTAGAAAACCTTAACTTTTTTTTAATTGGAATTTGAAATAAAGGAGTATCAAGAAATAAATAATGGACTAGGAATTTTAATACTTTCTTTAAGTTTAAGATTGATAATGAAAGGAGTAACATAACCTTGATTGAGAGCATTAAAAGTTTCTAACTGACCAAAAATCTTATTAAGAGTAAGGTATGGTTATATGTTATTATGATGGAGTTTCTTGTTAAATTTTAGGAAACAAGATTTATTGATGAAATATATGGTATGTCATTTTCTTCTATAAAGACAACGAGAGAAAGAGAGTTAGTGAATAATTGATGGTGATCCCAGGTTTTTAAAACCCTCAAGCACTTTTAAGCCTATGAATTTCTCTTTCTTTCATAGTCATAAACCATAGCCTACATTACATACTTTTAAAAGTTGTTTTTAATCAAGTAGGTGATTTGAACAGATAAATAATGCTTTTAAAAATTAAAAAGCTTTTCCATAAAGGTCATGACTTCACAAACTAAGTTGCTGGTTATTATGCATACTGATAAAGTAAGTGTTGAAAATAAAACAAAATTTCAACGGAACCTCGATTCTTTGCTCAAACCTCTTGTTAAAATCCACAGAAGGTCATGTCGTTGTGTAACATCAAATGATATACATAAATCAGAGAATAAAATTGACACAAAGAACCATAAAAAAACTATTTTAATTTTATAGTAAGTCAATTTCTATTTTCAAAACACAAGACAATCAAATGATTGTATATGTTGAATTACGTATATTGGGTCTTTAACCAAAAAAGCTTGATTTTCAAAAAATACTTTTAACATTGACATCTTTTTTATTTCATTTCAACATTTAGATTTGAAAAGACATGATCTTTAAAAGGTATGAGTTGATTCTAGAATAAAAAAAAATTCTTAAGCAAAAAACCATGAGTCAAGTTTGCAAAATCCTTGAAGAAAATGACATCAACACTTTTTAAACAATTGAGCAGTCAGGGGCAATGCAGTGGATCCTATGAGGGAATGCAAACAATATTCAAATTAGCTACGTGGAAAAGAAACATAATCAAATGATGATCCAATAAAATCCATCGAAACTATATTTAGCATCTGGCAGTAACATAATCAAACCATAAAGGTAAGGTGCGCTATGAGTGTTAATAGTCTCTTTATCCACAATCAGTCATTTACCTTTCAATATCTCATACAACCAATATACTCAGGTTCCTAGCAACCTTGAACCAAACAACTAGGTAACGACTCTCACAACCCCCAGATATTGCTCGTCCACATGCGACACACGTTTAACCCGGATCATGAGATCAGGCTCACTAAACTAAAAAAAATTAACGAAACTCAATTCTAAACAAATCAAATATTGAAAAATAAAATTGAAAAAATAAAATTAATTTAAAAACAGGAACCAAGAAAAAATAATTTAAAAAATAATGGCCAAATAATATATAAAAATTAAATCAAATCAAATAATAAGGAATGAAATTAAGAAACAAATCTTTAAAAAATAAAAACAAAAAGAATGAAGACAAAATTCGATATAAATACAAAATACAATAAAATATTAAATAATAAAATTAAAAAAAATAATTTAAAACAAATAAAGAGCAATGAAAAGAATAAAATTCACAATTAAAATTTTAAAAAAATAGAGGACACCCTTTAATTTGGGTTAGGTTGACATGTTTTTCAAGGAGAAGCGAGAGGAAAGGAGCAGGGAGAAAAATCCAACTGTTGTTTAACCACCGCGGGACGCCTTAGAGCATCTCCAACGGGAGATGCTTTCTAGAAGAGCTATATTGATAATATGGCTTTTTAAATAGTGTAGATATAGCTTTTTTGTTGATGTGCATTCCAATGGTAAGAAGCTATTTAGAAGAGCCAATTATATTTTAATATATTTGATACACAATTATTTTAACATAATCTATTAATATTTATAAAAATAAGGAATTAATATCTTTCTAAGAGCATCTCTAATAAAAAAAATATTATATTGAAGAGCTAAATAAAAAAATAGCTTTTTAAATAGTATAAATATAGATTTTTAAATTATATGCATTCCAATGGTAAAAAGCTATATAGAAAAGCCATTTATATTTTAATATATTTCATGTTAAATTAATTTTAATATAATTATATAACTAATTTAAATATTTTATATATAATATAATTATGATGTTATTAATTACATAATTAATATGAATAATTTATAAAAGTAATATAAAATTAATGAAGTAATATAAAAGTTAAAAAATATAATTTAAAATTAAATTTAAAATTTATTTATATCAATATTTTTAATTTTAAGTTTTATATGTTATTGTTAAAAATTAAATTTTTAAAAATTAAATTCAAATTCAAACTTTGAAAAAATCAGCGCCAACATAACCGCCAACATTAAATTTTTAAATTTTAAATTTTGAAAAAATAACCGCCAATATTTTAAATTTTAAAATTTCAAATTTTAAAAAACTTGCCGCCAACATTCTAAGATTTTACAATTTGAAAAAATAGTCCATCTATAAATATTCTCATATATCTTAACATTTTTTCTCATCATTTTCTTCTCTCCAATCTTTGTTATATTTCATTAAAATTCATCATGAATCATTCTAATTTTAATTGTTATGATGCTTTTGATTTTGATGATGACACTCCTGTGTTGGCTTTTCAAGTTGTTACTGCTGTAGTTGCTGAAGAAGAATCGAATAATCAAGGGCGGAGAACAAGGTATCGTGGCTCTATTTCTGGTCACAATGTTGTCAATCGTAATAGAAAGGAAGGTGAGTTAAGGTTATATAATGATTATTTTGCAGAAAATCCTAAATTCACTGAAAGTCAATTTCGAAGAAGATTTAGGATGAGTCGTCGTCTTTTTCTTCGGATCGCAAATGCAGTGGAAGCTCATAATTCATATTTCAAACAAAGGACAGATGCTCTTGGTGTTCTTGGTTTATCTTGCCTTCAAAAGATAACTGCAGCTCACAGAATACTTGCATATGGTATTCCTGCAGATCTTGCTGATGAATATCTTCGAATTGGAGAAACCACTGCAATAGAAAGTCTTAGAGCTTTCGTCAAAGCAATCGTAGAAGTTTTTGGTGATTGGTATCTAAAGGCACCAAACGAAACTGATATTTGTCGATTATTATCAATTGGAGAGCAACGTGGGTTTCCAGGGATGTTAGGGAGCATTGACTGTATGCATTGGAAATGGGAGAAATGCCCAATTGCATGGCATGAGATGTATACTAGTCATTGTCGTGAACCAACTATAATTCTAGAGGCAGTGGCTTCACAAGATCTTTGGATATGACATGCCTTTTTTGGAATGCCTGGATCATTAAATGATATTAATGTTCTTGATCGGTCACCTATCTTTGCTGCACTTGCTGAAGGTCGTACTGCTCCTGTCAATTATACAATTAATGGGCATGAATATACAATGGGATACTATTTAGCAGATGGGATTTATCCTAATTGGTCAACCTTTGTTAAGACAATCCTAAGACCATTAGGAGCAAAGAGAAAATATTTTGCAAGCAAGCAAGAGTCTGCAAGAAAAGATGTGGAGCGGGCATTTGGGGTGCTCCAATCTCGTTTTGCAATTGTACGTGGACCTGTTCGATACTGGGATGAAGAAACGCTTGCATATATTATGAAAGCTTGCATAATAATGCATAATATGATTATTGAGGATGAAGGAGCAATGAACCTTGGATTTGACCATGAACATGAAGTCAATTCCTTTATATCAGTGTCACATTGTGAAATACCAGAACTACATGATTTTCTTCAAACTCATAATCGAATTAGAGATAGAGCTACTAGCTCTCAACTACAAGAAGATTTGATTGAACATTTGTGGGAACAGTATGGCAACGAGTAGAATCTTTAGATTTTAACCTCTTATGTTATCATAATTTTCAGGTTTTTTTATGTTTTTTTTTCATTATGTTTGTTATCTTTTAAGTTAATTAATCCTACTTGTTATTGTTAAGTGTTAGAGGAACTTTAAAAAAGTATTATGAATTGATATCAATTTCATAACAATGTATTTAAAATAACCAAGAATTTTCTACATATTTAATTAAAAATACATTACATTACAATAAATCAATCAAAGTTAATTAAAAATCAAAACCCCTCTTTTGCATAATTTCTAACTTTCTATTTTGAAAATACACTGCAGAAATTGGATCCAAATTAGAAATATCCATTTTTATAATTTGTTCTTCTTTCTCAATCCTGTCCAATTCTTGTTTCTCTTGACTTTGTTGAATCATCATGGCTTGTTGCTCTAACATAATTTTCCTGTCTTGTTTCTTCTGATCCTCAATTTCAACTAGAGTATCCCTGAATTGTTGTAAGAGATTCGTTACAGTTACATCCCCAACTTTTCTTTTCCTTGTCTACGTTTAAGTCGTTCCTTTGCAGCCTTCTGACCGATTGGTCTATCTTGATAAATCAATGGTTCACTATCTTCTCCTAAACTCATAGCATCAGGGGTAGATGGAGTTGATGAAGCTGGACTTGCATTGACATGACCTTTTTGTTTCTTATTTGACCTTTGATGTTGACTTGCACGCTCAAATTGCCATTTGGGTTCTTTTCTTAAAATAACCCAGCAATGTTCTAGTTGAAATCGTTTGCCAACGCAAGAAGCATACATTTGTCGAGCATCATTAATCTGGTAAAAAAATAAATAAATTAAATAATATTAAAATATATGTTAAACAATTTAACATAAAAATGAATATAAACATTACCCTTGATTCTTCAGTCATTCCACTTTGCTGACGATTTTCAATTTGAGTAACAAATCCAACAAATTTACCGACTTCTCTATTTATTTCTTGCCATCTACTTGAGTTGCTTATTTGTGAACGATTATTCAAATTTCCTCCATTATCTACAAAGCAAGCATGTACACGAGCCCAAAACTGTTTTGTTTGTTGTTCAACTCCTGTAATTGGATCCTTACTTGTATTTAGCCATTGCGAATTTGAAAGAGACAAAAACTCCGAGAGTACTGTGGGGGGACTAGAAGAAAAGAAAACAAGCTGCATGAAAGTCGTACGACAGCAGCAAAGCACCTCGTTGAAGAGGTGAATTTCTTATGTATTTATTTTAATTTGTTTTTCCCCGGAAGTGAAGCTCATTTTAATTGGGGTCAAATGATGAAACGTCGTACGTGTGAACTTCCAAAGAGATCATGTCTTGCTGCCAGCGACTCCGCCTAGCTAATTACAACGTAACTAGTTGACTTTGATTCCGAGATTTGTTGATGTTACATTAAACCTGTCAACAAAAGATAACAAGACGCGTCGCTGTGCCTTCTTTTACGGAACTGGCGTGAATGACGGGGTCTCACTTTGCTTACAGAGATCAGCTGGACAGCGCGGTTCCCGTTCACAACCACCACACAAGAAAGAAAAGAAAAGGTTTAAATCATTTTTTAGAGTTTATTAGGTTTTATAAATCTTCAAGTTATTAGAAATTTATATAATTTTTAATTTTAAAATTTTTAAAATTAATTAAAATAACACAAACTAATCAAAATATTTATATTTAAAAAAAAAAATACTTTACCATGGAGATTTTTGATTCAACTGTACATTACAAAGGAATTATCATTTTTTTTTCAAATTCAAGATATATGTGGAGATTTTATTTTTTTAATATGGGTTAAATATTAAATAGGCTGTCTAGTTAATGTTTAACTACTAGATAAATTTATTAATTATTTTTGAATGCACCACCACAATGTTAAAAAATGAGTTTTTAACATCATTAAAAAAATAAAAAATAAAAAATTATATAATAATAAAAACACTCTTAGAGCATCTCCAATGGAGAAGCCAAATGAATAGCCAAAAATAAAAAATTAATATTTTGGCTTTTCTTTGTTTGTTTTGCATACTCTAATGGAGAAGTCAAACAAAATGCTAAAATGCCTTTTCTCTCCCACAAATGCTATTTCTATATATCTCTTTAAAGAGCCAAAACCAACAAAGTGGGACCACTAAAAAAATAGACCAATTAAATGTAGATATATAGAAAAAAAATAGCATTAAACAATATTAAGAAATAATAAAACACTTATTTTTTTCACTCCAATATAAATGGCTCTTCAAATGGCTTTTTTCCATTGGAATAGATATGGTAAGATAAGCTATATTTATACTATTCAAAATGCTATTTTATCAATTTAGCTTTTCAAAATAGCATTTTGGATTGGAGATGCTCTAATAGTATAGGCCCAGAGACTCAGACTCGGGCACAGCACATGCATGTACTGTTATTTAAGGGGAGAAATATTTTTTATTTTAAAAAAATTAAAATAATATTTTTTATTTTTAAAAATTTATTTTTATTGATAAAAAAACATCCAATTTAAGTTTTTCTTTTAAAAACTTTTTGATGCATATTGAACTTAGGACTTGCAGGCGATGAAATAATTGTCATTCAGAAAATTTTTATTGTAGAGTATAGACAAAAATCAAAATTTTTATTTTGTCATGTAAAAGTTATGACCATGTGTTATTCTTTGAAGGACGAGTTCATTATATAAAAACATGTTTATATATTTAACATGCATGTTTCCAAGTTGAAATGTAGGTTCCCTATCTAAAGCCTACTATACTTGACCGAGAGAAAAGGTGGAAAATAAAGAAAGGGCTCAAATAAAAGCTTATTATCACAAGGAAATTTAAAGCTTAAAAGGTGAAATAGCTAGGCTCACAAATTTACTCGAACTACTGTTGAGTTTTAAGAATGGAAAGGGAACATCTGCATAGCCCTCCGTGGAAGCATCGCCAGCCCAAGTCCCTCACACATCTCAAAATCAAGGGCAAACTTAGTAAATAGGCAATATTTTTATCCATTTTCCTTTCATCCAACCAACTCAAACTTAAATCATCTTGGATCCAACAATAGCAAGAACTTTTAAAAATAGATGGGTTACTCTAGAAGAAAGATTGAGAGTAGTTGAAGGAAATAATCTAACTAACCTTTAACTAACCTTGTATTGGTAGCTAAAGTTTGTTTAGTTCCAAACATTATGGTGTCAAAAAAGATAAGGCAACACATGTTTAACCTCCACTGATATAGACTTAAATGATGATGTTGTTCGCCAACACCTTCCACTCTTCTTATTATGAGTATTTGATGAGAAGCTTAGCTTAATATTTTTAGGATAGAAAGAAATGAGCAAGCTATCAACAAGGGAAAAATTGGATGTCCTACCATGAATTCCAGAACAATGATGAGAAATCAATCATAAGAAGGCTTTTAAGTGAAAAATCTTAGTTGTATGGTCTAGCCAAGTCTTATTGTAGCATTAACTGTTTACATGCTTTTGTCAAAGATTGATATACATTTGCCACTCGAGTTTGTCTACCAGCATCTGATAAATTTCAGATTTATTGCCTTAGCTCTATCAAATCTCATGCAACCACTATTTTCTATGTGATATAATCTAGACGAGAGATATGAATATCAAGGTAGGGTCTTGGGCCATTTGATTGGTGAGAAAATTTTGGAATTTATGAAGAGAATGAGCATTGTATTTTACTTCAATGTGTTTTCATATATAATGAATGCATCACATATTTTCAATGAATTGTACTTTGTTTTTTGTCTTGAAATAAAGAGATGTTTCTTTCAAATGGTATTTTGACAAAATATTTTAATCAAACTCCAATGTGTGAAATTAAAGCTAATCAATCCTAAAAGATTAAAGGTGTTTTGATTGCAGAAATAACTCAGTGTTTGTTAAAATGACATGATAAACAATGTAGGGGTGACCAAGCAAATTTTGGGCTCATATACAAAATTAAAATACAAAATTAAACCACATATCATGGAGCTAAGTTCTAGTAGTATACATAATGACACATAGTAAATTTTGTAGTTATGGACTCGAGAATCATGATTCTTTACAAGTTTAAAACATTATACTGGACGATGTTAAAATTTATTAGTTTTAGCTAACCCTGCTTGAAAAGGAAAAAAGGTCATTTTTGTTTATTCCCTTCACTATTCCTAAAGTATATATCCCTTACAAATTCTAATTTGAGCTTAATGGAATTTTTTTTTTAAAAAAAGTTTAAAATAAAAAAGAAACCTTGACATAGATCACAACCCGTATTAGGGGCAAACTATGGGTTTTCAGTTGAAAAACAAAGACAATAGTAGAATTAATGGTAAAAAGAAAATTGCTAAGAAAAAAAATCTAACTATTGAGTAAAGGACTAAAAGTGAAAATGCTCTAAACTGGAGGGCTTCCAAGAAAACTTTAATGAAGGTTACGTGAAAGCAAAAAAGTATACATCACTTGCATTTAAAGGCAAATCAAGGTTAAAGGTAGGAAAAATTCTATCAAGTCTGAAAAGGCATAAGAGGGTTTTTTTTTTTTAGGAAGGGCACAACAAATTTCAAAAGTCGATGTTGAGGGAAAGAGTTCAAAAGAAAAAAAGGATGTTGAACTATAAACATATCTTTTGGTATCTACTATAAAACCTCTAATGTCTTTAAATTATTAGATTGGTTATCCATCAAAGAAAAAATTTGATTTGCATTACAACCTCTATCAAAAGAATATTGATCTTTTAGGTGAACATAGAATAAGTGACATTGTTATATGTTATTCTTTTACATAGATAGTGAAATAGAAATAAGGAAATAATGAGGCTAATGATTGGTAAAAAACCTTAACTTTTTTTTAATTGGAATTTGAAATAAAGGAGTATCAAGAAAAAATGATGGACTATGAATTTTAATACTTTCTTTAAGTTTAAGATTGATAATGAAAGAAGTAACATAACCTTGATTGAGAGCATTAAAAGTTTTTAACTGATCAAAAATCTTATTAAGAATAAGGCATGGTTATATGTTATTATGATGGAGTTTCTTGTTAAATTTTAGAAAACAATATTTATTGATGAAATATATGGCATGTCATTTTCTTTTATAAAGACAGCGAGAGAAAGAGAGTTAGTAAATAATTGATGGTGATCCCAGGTCTTTAAAGCCCTCAAGCACTTTTAAGCCAATGAATTTTTCTTTCTTTCATAGTCATGAGCCATAGCCTACATTATATATTTTTAAAAGCTCTTTTTAATCAAGTAGGTGATTTGAACTAATAAATGATGCTCTTAAAAATTAAAGAGCTTTTCCATAAGGGTCATAATTTCACAAACTAAGCTGTTGGTTATTATGTATGCTGATAAAGTAAGTGTTGAAAATAAAACAAATTTTCAACGGAACCTCGATTCTTTATTCAAACCTCCTGTTGTCAAAATCCACATAAGATCATGTCGTTGTGTAACATCAAATGATATACATAAATCAGAGAATAAAATTGACACAAAGAACCATAAAAAAACTATTTTAATCTTATAATAAGTCAATTTCTATTTTCAAAATACAAGACAATCAAATGATTGTATATGTTGAATTGCATATATTGAGTCTTTAACCAAATAAGCTTGATTTTCAAAAAATACTTTTAACACCAACATCTTTTTTATTTCATTTCAACATTTAGATTTGAAAAGACATGATCTTTAAAAGGTATAAGTTGATTCTAGAATAAAAGAAAATTCTTAAGCAAAAAACCATGGATCGAGTTTGTAAAATCCTTGAAGAAAATGACATCAATACTTTTTAAACAATTGAGCAGTCGGGAGCAATGCAGTGGATCCTCTAAGGGAATACAAACAATATTCAAATTAGTTGGGTGGCAAAGAAACATAAGCAAATGATGATCCAATAAAATTCATCGAAACTATATTTAGCATTTGGCAGTAACATAATCAAACCATAAAGGTAGGGTGCGCTATGAGTGTTAATAATCTCCCTATCCACAATCAGTCACTTACCTTTAAATCTCTCATAAAACCAATATACTCAGGTTCCTAGCAACTTTGAACCAAACAACTAGGTAATGACTCTCATGACCCCTAGATGTCGCGCGTCCACATGCAACATACCTTTAACCTGGATCATGAGATCAGGATCACTGAATTAAAAAAAAATTAACGAAATTCAATTCTAAACAAATTAAATATTAAAGAATAAAATTAAAAAAAATAAAATCAATTTCAAAAAAGGAACCAAGAAAAAATAATTAAAAAATAATGGCCAAATAATATATAAAAATTAAATCAAATCAAATAATAAGGAAAGAAATTAAGAAACAAATCTTTAAAAAATAAAAACAAAAAGAATGAGGGCAAAATTTGATATAAATATAAAATACAATAAAATATTAAATGATAAAATTAAAAATAATAATTTAAAACAAATAAAGAGCAATGAAAAGAATAAGATTCACAATTAAAATAAAAAGAAAATAGAGGACACCCTTTAATTTGGGTTGGGTTGACATGTTTTACAAGGGGAAGCGAGAGGAAAGGAGCGGGAAGAAAAATCAAACTATTGTTTAACCACCGCGGGACGCCTTACATGCACACCCTTTGATACCTCCATGTGCTCTGTTAGAATAGATGGCTATTATTTTTTTTGGTTATTAGAAATATTGTATATATCGCCTAAAAAATGTGATGCCTTCTATATTCTAGTATATGCATTGCAGACACTAATAATTTTTTTTAATTTTTTTATTTAGTTTATTAAAAGATCTAAGTTACTCTAAATCTATATAATATTAATAAAAAAATCATAATAAAAAGACTAGAAAACTCTTTAAGTTATAGATTTCTTACTTATAAATATACCTTAGTAATTAAATTGTGCTAAGAAAAATAAAAAACTAAAAACATCCTTGCATAAATAATTAAACAAACTTAATTTTTAAAGGTATTCTAGATATTATATTGTGCAAATATACGTAATAATAATTGAAAGATACAATATACAATGTAATTGAAAGATACGCTATACAATGTAAATAATAATAATAATAATAATAATAATAATAATAATAATAGGATATTACAATGTAAATAATAATAATAATAATAATAGGATATGAGTCCGAGTAGCGAACCGACATTCTTTAGTCGGCTATTATGGTCCACATCTCAGCACAGAACACGAAGACAGAATACAAGTGGAAGCGGTCGGTCCGATGCCTCACTCTAAACAATAAGAAACGTGTTTTTTTATTTTCGAGGTTCACACCAACGATTGCCTGTCCTTTGAACTTATATGCTATGTTAGAGCCACCTGTTGCCGCTAGGAACAGGAAGTAGAATTCACAAATTGATTTTTATTATTATTATATTTATTATTTATTAAATATATGGTTTTATATTTTTATTTGAATATTCATTGTCTGAATATCATTAATTATTTAAGATAAAACAAAACAATATACATATTTGAAATATACATACATATTGGGTTAAATTGCCATCCTACTCGCTGAAATTAATAAAAGAAAGCTAAAATGGATTTTTGACAATAAATAATAATATTTCTTAATCACACCAGATTGCTTGACGGTGAAGCTAGATCTCGATACCGACTTGAATAACAAAATGTCAAACAAATATGTCATGTCAAAGATGGAGGTTGATATTCTGACATGTAACTTCTTTTCGGTGCCGCTAAAACTGTGTCGTTGAGACATTCTTAAAAGGTTCTGGTTTCTAGAGAGTAGATTGAAACTTAGAAGAATATTACTAAATTTGCATGTTTCTTCTTCTTTAATGGAGGGATTAATTAGGTAAGGAGGTGGCTAAAGCTTTTCAAGGTTCCATGTGGGAGCTAAAAGTGGCGAACAAAGAGGAGAAAATTGATATAAAAAAGAGAGAGAAGGTGGTGGTGCTGGAGAGCGGCTGCAAAACCAAACTATACCATTATGCTTCCCGACTCGAGTAGGGAAAGAGAGATGTCAATTATGGTGACTGCTTTGACACTTGTAGTGGCTGGAAATGTACCTGCAGATGATTCGGATTCCTCAACAGCATTTTCAAATAATCATGGAGACTTTATTCATGGTGGTTTGTCGGCGAAGAGAGAAAGGGAGGAAGAGGGTGGTTGCAGTGAAGAGAATGAAAGGCTCTGTAGAGCATTTGCTGATGACTTCTTACATGGGGACTCGTCCACTGCTGGGAGAGGTAAGCTAGTTAGTTTTACGGTTGGCTAGGGTTACTCCCGAGCTAGCTAGTTTTAATTTGTCTAGCTTAATCTGTGCTCGTCTTATGCACTAGAATGCCCCATTAATGATGTAACGCTCTGTTTCTCCCCTCCCATGTCTCTACAGCTACAGGAATTTCCGTCGTCACTACAAGCACCGTAACACCGGCATCTACACAGATGACATTCACTCCAGTATATGAACACAATGAAACCCGCAGAGACGAGCCACAGAGAAAATATAGGGGAGTGAGGCAAAGGCCATGGGGCAAGTGGGCTGCTGAAATAAGAGATCCAATGAAGGCAGCTAGAGTTTGGTTAGGCACTTTTGATACACCTGAGGCTGCAGCTAGAGCCTACGATGAAGCTGCTCTGAGATTTCGAGGCAGCAAAGCCAAGCTCAACTTCCCAGAAAACGTCAAGCTTCGACCATCTCCTCCCCCCAGTCCAACAGCAAACCAGTTGACTGTCTCTGATTCTCCAAGTTCCGGCCTTTTATATCTTTCTACATCCTCTGAGTTCATGCTTCACTCCCAAGCTCTTCACCATACGCAAAACCGTGAGATTTCAAGAGAGCAAGTTAGCCAACCTCAATTGATCTTGGGTGTTGGTGGTTATGAAAAGCAACCCGTGAGTCTACACGACCAAATGTTTTTGTCATCTTCGTTTGCTTCTTCTAATTCTTCATCATCCTCCACAAAACCTTCCGATCGTATGCCTTTTCCGGCTCAGAAACCAGGTGAGTTTAGGCCTGCCACTAGTAGTCAGAGTGGCGGAAACGATTGTCAGTTGCCGGCCTGGTCAGGTTATAGCCATTATAACTCCTCTTCGAGATGATCCGTACACCACAACTCTTATTCTTCTATGCAGTTTCTTTTTTTAAATTTATATAGATGTTCGAATACTTCTTGATTGATTTTACAGGACATGAAATTCATAATTATATAATGTATTTTAATTGATTTTATTAAGCTTGAAATTAATAATTATATAAATTTTTAATGATATAAATTTGTAATAATTTTAAAATTTATAAGATTTTAATTAATAATATCTAAAAAATAAATTTAAAATCTAACCAGTTAAGATATATTTCTCGAGATTTTCATCTATATAATTTCAGGTATATTGATAAGATAGTAGTGCATTTTTTTTGTTACCATGAATTTGTCTGGATAAAACTTAGCCAAAAAATAGTTTCTTTTTAAAAAACAATTCCAGTAAAAAATAATTTTTTAGAAAATAAATTATTTTTTTGATGGTTATTATTATCATTAAAAATAAATTTTAATACTTTTTATTATTTCTGTTTGATTTATAAGATAGAAAATAATTTATTAATATTTTAATTATTTTTTTCAAGTTTATCAAAAATTAAAAACTAAAGTTGACATACAAAAACATTGGAAGATAAAATTTAAAAAAAAAACTATAAATTATTTTAAATAGAAAAATAACAATTAAAAAAATTAAAACTAAATCTAAAAGATGATAAAATAAAATAAATAACTTATTTCAAATAAAATAAATAACAAAAAATAAGAATTATGATAAATAAAAAATTTCAATTTATGGGATAAAAATAAAAAAATAAAAATTCAAAATAAAATATATAATAATTAAAAGATTAAGAACCAAACTTGGTAAAATTACCCAATAACAATATTTTTGAATTTTTACTTCTAGAAAACATTTTTAATTTAAAATAAAAAAATATACTTTCATGATAGTATTTTTCTTTTTTAATGTTACACAAACACCAGAAAATTTGAAAAATTAATGTGAAGAAAATCAGTAAAAATAGCTTGCCGTTTAGCAGAAGCATCTTCGCTATTTCAAACAATGGTGAATTGACAGGTAACTTTAGGGCGCAAGAATGTGCCCAGGGTGGGAAATAGGAAACAAAGATTTGTATCTCGGACAAGGCCTCTTCCTCCCAGGCTTCCTTGGAACTTTAAGACCAAGATGCGACCATGTAATCACAACCTGTAAATAAACTTAAACAGGCAAATCACAATTTGTTCCACGAGGGATCCCCATTCTCTTTCAAGATGAGGACTATTCAACTTTCACAGATCAATATGAAGCAGTGACGTAGAATTGATTGATCAACGCCAAATGGGAAGATGACACCCTTAAATCCGGACATCAACACTAATATAAAAAACAAAATTTGCTGATTTCAATCTCCAGAATGGGAACGACATCCAGCTGTCTCGTACATTGTCCAGGAAACGTGAACAACCAAGAAAACAAGGCGTGTTTGCTGACAAACAAATTGACTTCAAGACATCATGATAAAATGCCGCGGTAATGATGATAAATGACAGATAAACCATATTAAACAAATGAAGAATCTTAAACAAAGCTGAAATTGAGATTTCCCTCTACTGCTACAGACGAAGCCCATTTGGGTCCTGCCATTAGTCAGTGGTACAGCATGTGCCAGAAGTATACAGCAATCTTTACTCTCAATTCTAAGCATCATCACAGCCTAACCAACAAAAGAAATATCTTCAGGATATGATGAATGTCCAACCAAACCCACTCAGCAGAGATTTAAATGGGTTCTAAACACAATTAAAAACAGAAGTACTGTCACCTAAAAATGATTTTTTTTTTCGGGCGTGGGGGTGAGAGAGAGACCTTCGTGCATTCAGTGGCACCAGCCCTTTCAAACTTTTAGAGCAGCTTTGTGGACCATAGTTTCTTTGTGTATTTGGTGGCAACTCTTCTCAACAAGATCAAGCAGCTTCTCCAAGTTCATTGCCCATGAGTTGAGAATGTCATTGCTATCCTTCGCTACTTGGAAAGACACAATTCCCATTGGCCTGTCAATCTTTGCCACCAAAGCTTTGGACACAACCATATCAGAAAGATGCTTCTCAGCTTCCTATATTTAAAAAAAAAAAAAAAAGGCAGATTAAATGCAAAGTACCTTGATCAACGCACACACTTCTCATATTATTAACATGTTTGATAAACTAACTATTTCACTCAAAGTACTAATTTAACTTCTATTTTTTTTTAGATTTCGGCACGAACTAAAACATAGCAATCATTGCTGGTCTATAAAAGCTGACCATTATTTAGGGAAACCTGTAAGATCCTTTACATAGTTCAAGAGAATACAAAGCCCTGTTCCTCTGTTTATTCAAACTCCAGTCACGCTTTTAGGGAAACCTGTAAGATCCTTTACATAGTTCAAGAGAATACAAAGCCCTGTTCCTCTGTTTATTCAAACTCCAGTCACCAAAGCAAAAGGATGGCTGTTTGCCAAATTATGCAAATCACTATCAACCTAAATTTCGTGCAATGTGAGTGGAAAGATCTTATTCCTCTCTAAGTCAATCTGACCCCAAGCCAAATTGTCTTACTAACAACAAAATAAATTATGAAGAGCATTAATTGGCAACGAGTCATTACTGATACCAAGGACCACAAGCACTAACAGAAAGGGAAAGATATTGTTATACAAGGCAAAGATGTGTATAAGTATGAATAGGCTGGAGGGTTGCTTGGGAGCGTCAATTGCAGAGCAGAGCTCATGATTGTTTGTAAGCTTGCTCCGAATATGCTTGAAACAAGATTAAAGGAGAATGCCTCCAAGAGGATTAGAGCAATCATTCTTGAATGCAAAACCTGGTGCCATTGTCAAATTCGCACTCATGTCATTAGGTCAATTAAAGATCATTTATACTATTAACAGGCCTGCTCATCAGAAACTTAATTGGACTTTCAGACATGGATTAAACACAAATACATTAACCACCACCATGAGATTAAATTAAGTTACAACTAATGGGATTTGTAAGATTCCAATTCCTAGACATTAGGTCAAAGAGGCTCTAAAATTGCCTGTGACTGTTCAATAATTGAACACAATGTCTAAATTCAGATACGAACACCAGAAGTTTCAATTAGGATGGACAATATAACTTCAATTATTATGTTGACTGAATAATTTCTGAGGCAAATCTCTTACATTTTATCCACTACTATGGAAATCCAAATAAATAGTTAAACAGAAGCACCAGGCAACCATGAAGCCTTTATTAATTTTAACCACGCCTGATTAAATCCAAATCTTTGAAATGAAACACATTCATGGAGATTTGCGCGAGTTCACAAGACAGAGGACAAAAATCAGGCATAATGACACCATCGAAACAATTGCCGAAAACAAAGATTAGTGTGGGCAAACAAAAGCATGTGTGCAACACAACTACACAAACACACATACAGAGAGAGGGTGGGGGGGAACCTGGATGCTGAGACACAATAACTCTGCTAGTCTCTTCACAGTAATCCTGGAGTAATACTTTGAAACAACAAGGATATTCTGAAAAGAAAACATGTTGCAAATGGATTAACAACCACACTCAACAGTAGATTGAAGAAGAAATTCCATAATTGTCCCCAAATATGAAAATTGAAAGTAGATTACATGTTCAATTATTCTTTGCTTTAAATCCTCTGCTGCTTTGTCACCCAAGGATCCTCCAAGTAAGTTCTTCTCATTTTCAAACTCATCCATAAATGCATTCCAAAGAGATGTCCATTGGATGACTTCCATCGTCACTAACTGTTTCAACAGCAACCTATGGAACAGCATCCAACAAAGAGAAGTATTAAATAAAAGATTATTAAATTATATGACCAACAAAATGCAGAAACAAATTAAAGCAACACGTACTTAAAATTAGGAATTTCAGAAAGATTCTTATCCTCCAAGGTGGAATTCAGAAGGCTTGACTGCATTGGATCGTGAGGTGAAAGTACCAAGTACCAACAGATTTTCCTCAAGACCTGCATGTTGAAAATATCAGGGCTGTCCAATAGAGCACACAGAAACCTCAAAAGATAAAAAAAATTGAAGATAAGCTCTTACTGGAATCCATTGGGCAGGATTTTCCTTTACAGGGGGAATCTCATATATTGCCTTGTAGCAACGGCAAATTTCAAGATAATCATTGTCATGGGAGTAGTACCTATAACAAAAGTGGAGAGCACAAAGACAGGCATTACATGGTGCTCTTATTCAAATCTACAGCAGATATACTAGTTCACAAATACTAGAAGGCTACAAAGCATTTAGCAACCAAGAAATCAGACATGGGAATTTGCATAATAATTGGCAGAGACAAGTTGGATGCTTGGGATATTTTACTAATCTTTAAACAAAATAAAAAAAAATCAACAAAAAGAACTTTTCAATGAAAAAATATTATCAAATTAACCTTGGCCTCTTAGAAAAATTAAGCAAAGGCGATCAGGTCATGAAAGTTTTTGGAAAAGATACCACAAAGAAAAATCATTTTTGCAGGGTTTTGTTACTGTATTTGAAAAAAAAAATCCCAGGTTGTTGTTCAAAAGAGGAAAAGAAGAGACCATTCTTTCAGTAGAAAATACAAACATGAAATCTCAACAGAAATGTCTCAGACTATAGAAATCCACAGCTGCATGGTCCTATCAATTTGCATCTGAAATCACAAATATAAAATAGTATTGCAATGTTATTTGAAGTTCCAGTTCAATGAATTCTGATGTCTGGAACTTTAATTTGCCTTTCAACAGGTTCTTTTAAACTCAAATATGGTGCGAAGAAGGAAGCTTTCCAGCATAAGCTGGTAGCATGCATGTTCAAACCTTTTTTTAGTGATCATATTTGACAATTTAAGAATTGTTTAAATCATGCATATTACTTCGCTAGCATTTCTGAATTGAATCTGATTGTTAAAAAAGCAAACACAACTAATGACAATGTGGAACACTAACATAATAAAAACCATAAATGCATCGTCCAGTCAGTTTGCTAACTATGAGCTGCAAAATGTAAGGATGGAAATGCTATTATATAGTTCTTGATACCAGACTTTAAACCTTGGAAAGCAATCAATGGTGGCAAAGAAAGCTACTCCCAGGATATATAGCATTGCGCATAGCTTTGCATGAATACTAAGTTGGGCAAACATATCTATCAGCATTACTGCTCCAGATTAAGAACCAAAACCAAAAACCTCAAAAGAGGGGGCAAAAGGGCTTTTTCCTCTGCTTCAAACATGAAGCCATGGTGCATTCACATGGAAAACATGCTATCATATGGATTACCTTACTATCAGGGTCTTAAGCACATTGTCTATAAAAGCACCTCCAAATATTTACTTTCAATGATGTTAACAGCAGTTACAGGAGCTCATGGAACGATTGAGCATCACATGGTGCATGCAAATTAAGACCAAATTAAAGGCCTTATACAGACCAAACACAGAATTCAAAACATGTTCAAAACAGCTGTTTCCAGCATTTCATGGTGAATGCAAGTATATAAATAGAGATTATAAAGATACAGCGCAACATTTATGTAATTTCTTAGCATTAGATGTATATTTTGCTTAATCCAAAAGGCAGCAAGCAGAAACACAGCCACATAAGCTCACAAATTTTCAAAGATGCACTGTATAAAGATACAAATGTAGTGTAACCAAGAAGCTCATGAATCGATTGGGCATCACATAAAACCTAGTTAAGTATTAGACAAATACTAAAGAAACTCAGTGGAACTATTAAAAAAAAAAGGTTAAAGCAAGAATAGGGCAAACTATATACAAAATTTACATACCGTATCATCAGTTCATAGTAGATCCGCTTTAACTCCAACAATGATGGTATATCGGCAGGAGCCTCTTCAACAACATTATCACCTTCCTTTGGTTTCTTCTTCGACTTAGAAGTATCAGCATCAAAAACCCTTGGACTAATCTTCCTTGAGAGAATTTGTGCACGAACATAATCTTGGCGGTCAAGGCATAGACGAACCTGTCCCAACAAAATTGATGCCCCATCAGAATTAAAACAACCAACAACAAAAGCCTCAAATTTAACAGATCAAAGATAAAAAGGCCAATGGTCATCCATGTTCCACAAAAGCAGGATCCCTGGTTAAGGAACCTTAGATACAATCATATCATGCGTCATTAATTGCATATCGAAGACATTTTAAGCATCCAATTTCTTTGCTTAATCTCAAAGACATTACCGAAACTTAAAGTACAAGCAACAAATAACGAGAAAACACAAACAGAAATACAAGATGCACATACTTGCTCAAGAATGAAGGCAATTTTCTCAGTTTTTGCCATAGCACCAAAAGTTTCCACCTGCAACCCAAAAACATGAAAATACATCAATCTTCTTACATGCTCTATGAAGTAAGGAAGCAAACACTACAAACTTACTGCAACTTCTTGCATCAGATCCGCAGCTTCAGCTATAAGCCCTTGCTCTTCCTTAATCTTAGCTAGTTTCCTAATCAACCTTGCTCTCTCAATTTCAACATATATCTACACGTCATATAAATAAACAAGCTTACTGAAATAACACCAGCATAATTCATAGAAACAGTCATATTTACCCCCACATTAAATAATCAAATAAAAAACAAAAATATATAAAACGGATCATGAAAATCAGTCAGACCTTGCCAGCAGATACACTGTTAAGTGTTTTAATAAGTTCGATGCGAGTATCAAGATCCGGAGTCTCGTCAATGTATTGCATTGCTTGCTGGACCATCGCAGTTACAGCCTAAGCCAGGAAAGAAAAAAATGCTTGCTGGACCATTGCAGTTACAGCCTACGCCAGGAAAGAAAAAAATCAAAATCCACCCAAAAAATCATAGCACAAAAATTACCTAATTTAATTGAATTTATTTGCATACTAATTAAAATGAACATTACCTGTTTGAGTTGACCACGTTTTTTAGAGAGAAGGATAATTTGGTCATTTAGAGCTTTCCAATCTTTAGCTTCGAAGCAGAGTTGGAGAATCTCGGTGACGGCTTTCTTAGTGCCGGCGACGTCTCCGGCGAGCCTCATCTGCTTTTCGACGTTCTGCAGTTGCTCAATCGCCGCTTCCAAATTCGCTTTTCCCTCCTGATTGATTTGTTTTTTTCATAAATTAAAACAAAATCACAAAATGGAAGCGAAATTGATAGGAGAAAAACGATTCAAACAATCTAGTTTTAGAACTGAGAGAGAGTCTTACCATCTTAAACCAGAGAAAGTTCTGTTCAGTTCAGTATTCCACGAACCCTAGAAGACGGGGAGGACGAGGTGGTGTTTAAGTTGAGAGAAAGTGAAGACTGAAAAATGCCTTGCGTGCTTTTTATGCACTCAAACCCCTTTTACAAGCAAGAATTGATTTGAGTAAACTATTTGTTTAGTCCCTAGCTCTTAGAAACATTATAATCTAGTCCCTTTTGTTTGAGAAACCAGCCGACTCGTATTTTCTTGTCCATTTATAATTCAATATTTTATCTTCCTGAAATACCCTTACTTGAAGTCAAGATTTCCAGCATTACAGCTAGAAACAAACCAAAAAGCCATTTTTGAAAGGTAGCTTGAGTATTTTAATAAAGTTAGTTTATTGTAAAACCCTGATAAAAGAAATAAATTATGATTTTCAAAACTAAATCAGATAATTTATGGATTAATTGTGTTATATATTTTTTATTTCTTCATTCTATGGATTAATTGTGTTATATGTTCTTTATTTCTTCATTATAATGAGAAGTTACAATTAAGAACAAAATATAAGAGGACACGAATAACATGCTAAATTGCTGAAATACTCTTACTTTAAGTCAAATTTTGTAGTCTTACAAGCTAAAAACAAACCAAATAGGCATTTTCAAAAGATGAGTTGGATATTTTGAAAAAAAATTAATTTATTATAAACCCTATAAATTGACTAAATTATGATTTTCACAGCCAAAAAAATGACAATTTTTTTTTATCAATTATGCTATATTTTCCTTATTTTTCTTCCCAACAAGAAAAACTTATAATTACAAATAAAATTTTAGTTGGAGGTAAATAGCAGCCTCGAAAATCAAATAGAATATGAAATATTTTTTTATTATTTTAACATATTAGGAAGAAATCTCGGCTAAACTACATAGCAAAAACATAAAAAAAAAAAATAAAGGATAAAGTTGTAATGACACTAAATAAAAATAAGATTACTTAGTACATTACCCATTTTTAATTTTCCATCTTTTCATTATTGTATATTTAGGTATAGTCTTTTTCCTCCTTTCTACAGATTACTTAATACAAAGAAAGGGAATCTCCAGATTTCAAGGTAAAGTGAAAAATTATTGTTGATATCAATTTTAACCATTAAAATTATTGAATTTAGTGTTATTTAGTTGATAAGGAAACTTTTAAGAAAATTTTTACCTAATTTGATTTTGTGTTTTATGGATTGTTTTTGAGTTTTTGAGGTTAATAAATTTATTTATAGATATTGAGAGGGTTTATAAAATGGTTTTAGATTAAAATGAATAAAAAATAAGTTTTTAAAGTAAAAACAATACTTTACCCTGATTTTTCTGCCATTATTATGGTGATTATAATCTAAGCAGTCAAGCAACTCATCATTTAGTTATTATTTTTTCAAAAAAAAAAATGGTTATTTGCCCCTTAAAAAAAAAATCAAGCCTATACAGGTCACTGCTCGAAGACCCACACCTAAGCTTTCTTTTTTCATTTTTTAAGGTTTAGGTATGCTAGATAATTAGGCTTGCATATCTAGGCTCTCAATTTTGGTTTTCTTTTTCTAAATAAATTATTATCTTATATTTAGGTGAAAAATAAATTTAAGAAATTTCATTTATTAAATATGGTTGAATTTATAACCCAAATTACAAGTTTGACAGGTTAAACAATATCTTTCAATTTGATCTAATATTTTATCATTTCAAGATTTATTTTAAAAAATACCTCATATTAAAAAAAATTAAAGAATTTAGTTTATTTTGAATTTGTTTTCAAAGTGTGTTTTTTTCATAAGGGATTAATTTGCTCAAAAATATCTTTTTATATCAATCTCACAGTCTTATAATCTAAATTATAAAAATAAAAAATTAATTTGATTTGATTTAGACCACCAAATCATTCACCGTGTCAATATTTTTTTTATAAAAAAAGTCATCCTGTAATTTGTTATTTTTTAATTTGTTTGTATTAATTTGATTTGATTTAGACCACCAAACCATTCACCGTGTCAATATTTTTTTTTAAAAAAAGTCATCTTGTAATTTGTTATTCTTTAATTTTTTTTTATTTTCTTTAATTTATTTTTTATCCTAGGTAAAAAAATAATTTTTTTGTAAATAGATTGTTTATGATTTAAATTACAAGCTTTACAAGTTAGACTATAAAATTTAAATTGATCAAATATATTGTTTTGTTTTTTATTAAAAAATATCATACTAAAATTTTTTTAAACATTTATTTATTTTGAATTAATCTTCTTGGTAAGTTTCTTTTTTATTTTTATATAATTGCTTTCAATTTATTTTATATAAAAAAAATTTATCAACTTATTTCTTTTTAAATTGAATAATTGCTTTCAATTTATTTTATATAAAATTTTTTTATCAACTTATTTCTTTTTAAATTGAAACAACAAAGTTATCGGCCCTCCAGGTTGTGGGATCTAATGGTGCTACTTAAAATTTTCCGCAATCTCAATTTTTTTTTAACATTTCAAAAGAGTTTGATTCGAATGACAACAAAGTATGGATCAATAAACTATTAGTTCAACATTCAATATTCAATATTCGGATCAACTTTAAATCAGTATGTGTAAGAGCGCCATTAAAAAGGAAACCCTTCATAATTACTATATTATTAAGATAAAAGAATGGTTGAAGACAAGTTATTTGCTCGGATGTGATGAGATTGCTATTCATAATTTTTGCAAATCCCGAGAATGTAAAAACAAAATCCTTTGTAAATGTATCATTCTTCTTGTTTGTCTTTCTTTTAGTTCAGGAAGGTTAGACATTCTCTCCCCCGTTTGTTTGTAAAATTCTCGTTAAAAAATCACAATGACTCCTGTTCTTCTTGCCAATTCTGAGGATCAAAAACTTGCACGAAATCATATAAAGTTTCATAAACTATAATTAAGAACCATATTGTTCAGCAATCTGAGAAATGGTTACACTGCCATCTTAATGATGGAAATCATCCAAAGCCTCCCATGTGGAAATCCGCATCTATACTAAAAAGGGTTCTCTAATAACTTTCCAGGGTATTTGTGCTACTATAATCAAAGAAATCAAAACAGCATCCAATGGCATTGAAGAAAAAGAAAAAACCAGAGAATAACAGTGGCAACTGATATAGACATCACCTTGGAGTTCTTCCCTCTAAATTGTGTAACTTTTGCTATAAAAAACTACTATATGGAAAGAATCTCAAATCCCCAAGCTACATCATTTTTTCTACCACATTTGAATAAGTGAGTTTCTTAAAGGCTCAACTTGAGATTCCTAATGCAGAGGGACCTCGGCTTCTGCTGCCTTCAGCTTCAACTGTTGACAGCCTCTCCAGCATCACGACGCTGGGATATCTTTAAAAGGTCATTATCGATTTCTAGATTGTCTTGTACTTTTGTCCGACTGTCTCCTTCTGAATCATCTATTTTTACTTCTCGGGTTATACGCATGGGCATCTCTTCTTGTACATAAGCCTGGAAATTGTTTCTTGAAGGCTTTGTCTTGGTGCAGAATACTTCAAGAAAATTCCTAAAGCAACCCTGGTCATAGACATTGTGCCTGTTGGCTGCTCCATAGCGAAAGTTTTCATATGTAGTCTGAGGAAAATGTTAGAAAGAGTTAGAAAATGGGCCATTGGAAAGCATGAGAAAAAAGGACAACCGATAACAATTATTTCCAAAAAAGAATTGCTTTAACATTCGCCGAGGGAAGACCTGTCGGCAGTTCACGACTTACGAGCACACAAAAATGACTCTGATAAAAATCAAAAGTACTCAAGCACAAGAAAAGAATGGTTTCCTGAAAAAAAGAGAAACAAACTGACCTGGTTTCTGCCTATAAGATACAGATGGAAGCAGGTGAGCCCACCGACAAACCAGAGGAAAATGAAGGAATAAACTATTAATATCACAGATGCAGGTGACTCCTTTATTGCCTTCCAGGGAGTACCATAATCATCCATAAGAAACTTTACGTTCAAAGCTGACATTGAAAATATGAAGATGCAGAGAAGAGCTGATGAAGAAACAAACAGAAAGAAGTACCGGTAGTTGCGCTGCGAAGAGATAAACATACTTGGTTTAATGAAGACAGAATCCATTCTTTCACTAACGCATACAAAAGTTGAAAACACATTGTCCTTGATTGCAAGCAATCTTTTGAAGAATTCGAATTCCTCCATGTATTCAAATGAATTTTTCTAGGTTCGAGTTCTTTTCATTTTCCTCACTGTTGGCCAATACACTAAACTAGCAGCGAATTTTGGATGGATGACCACATTGGCCAAATCCTTTCCATCAATATATATAAAATTCCTGAAACTATAGCTCAGAATGATGACTTCCCTCAACGACTATTTCTTAAAATTGGCCCTTATCCTTGTTAAACAAAAGTGCAATGAAAATCCTTGATACTAGAATGGCAAGTTTGGTTTGACCAATAGCTTCCCCAGAACAACAGGAATATCTTCGCAGATCCAGGTCAAATAAAATCACGGAAGGACTTCATCACCAAGTAGATAATTTCAAAGAGATCACGGAACAGAATATTTTCCGAAATGCATCTTTTTAAATGTTTTGGATGGGTTCTTAATTTGGACCATGGACTCAATTCAACAAAAAATAAAATAAAATAAAATTGAGCAATCTATACTACATACCAGTCCAATGCATTGGCCCACCCAGGGACAATGGTGATCGAATCGCTCCACGCAGTTATCACATACAGAGCAATGTGAACAACGGGGTGGTCGATATATCATGCATGTATCGCAATACTTCACTTTCACAGAAAAACCATTGACAGTCACTTCTTTTGTGCGCGGTAACCGTGGAGTAGGTGTGTGTATGCCGCCAACATCTACTGAGGCTGAAGGGTCGTAGCAAATCTCTTCCTCTGGTGGATGTGAATTTCGAGGAAGAATGCCTGGGTCACGGGCTGAAGTGAGAAACAGGAGCACCAATACCTATCATGAGTTCATGACTACCTATGGTCAATCTGAACAGTAGCCAGACTTAAACTGAAGGCAAACAAAACATTGACCAGGATGACGGCCAAAGAGAGAAAAACATCACGGGCACAAGAAAAGCATACTAGATTTATAAAAAAAATGAACGATTTTTAAGGAATATTGGGATAGTGAGACAGAATTAGGCAAGCAGTTGAAGTTACTAGAACAGAACAAGGATCAGCAGGACTCACGTAGATTGTGAACAGAATTGTTACGACTAGAATGACATAGCCAGTATTATATGTTGGAAATTCATGGAGGAGGTTCCTTGCGACTTTTGTACAGAATATAACAACGGGAACCACGATGAGCAATAAGGTAATAATCAATGATTTGGCATCTGGGCCAAATATAAGCCTCCCTTTGCAGAAGAAAATCTGCATGATGAACCCAATAAAAGAAGAAAATTCAGGAAAAAGTTGAGAAGGAAGATATCAATTTATATACTTAAACCAATCAAATAAATAATTCACCCCCTTGTAGAACCACTAGCATCCCATTTCTTTCCCATCTCAAGATTGCTTATCACTAGCCACTACCAAAGCCTATAGTGAAGAGTTCGCTAATACTACTTAAAGGCAACAACATCAACCACTAAAAATGTCCATATAGCATATCAGTCAGGTCTCGGGCTCAACAGTCCGCAAAGCTCTCTTATAGCCATAAAGGGTCAGAGGCCTCCTTCCTTGCGTGGAGCGGACAAAATATATGCCCGGAGATTTAAGGTTCAGAACGTGTCCACTTGCACCGTAGGATGTTGAGGTCAAGACTAGTTATTCAGCTATCAAAAACAATACCAGCTAAAAACAAGAACCAAACATATTTTAAAAAAACAAAAAACAAAAATGAAAGGAATTCTATAAAATGCTTCTCAATACAATACAATACAAACAACAACCAGTTCATTAATTCATTGGAAAAGCACAGAAACTTCACCCCAACAAAACCCATCAGTCTAAATCTGGCAGAAACAAACTATATAAAACATAACCCAGATCATAACTGAATTAAGAAGCTTACATTGCGTCCCTTCCAAGCATGGTATACACGCCTAGCCATTTAGGAGGTAGGTAGATAATCTTACTAAGGAGCAAAGCAGAGAGAGATAAAGAGAGAGGGCAGGAGAAGAATATTTGAAACTTATGGCTGGAGGAGTGAGTGTATTGCTTTTGCTTTACAGACAGGGAGAGAGCGACAGAGAGAGAGAGAGAGAGAGAGAGGCGGTCAGGGGTTTTAAAAAAATGAGGTGGAAGGAAATGATGGGGTCTGGGTTTTGCTGGGGCTTTTGGAATTTTCCTTTAACCTTCATGCCCTTTGTTGGAATTTGAGATAAAGTCATTTATTTTCCTTCTTTCTTTAAAATAAAATAAAATAAATAAAACATTTATTTGACATCTATATTAGAATTAGAGAGTTTAGAAAATACTTTTACTTTTTAATATATGTATATTTTTAAAAATAATTATTGTAAAATTATAGTAACCATTCAAGAGTTTAAAAGATTAAATTTTTTAATATTCACCCGAACTTAAAAAGAGATTTTATAATATTTTCAAATACTTGAAGGATCATTCTAATTTCATAATATCTTAAAATAGTTTTTATAATTTATTTCATAAATATAAAATTAAGATTTTAATTGCAACAAAGTATCAAAATACAAAATAAATTAATAAAAATAATAATATAAAACTACAAGATTGATTGTGACTTACACACAAGTATCATTTTGGATCCTTATTATTATTATTTGTTTCTTAATAAAAAGACCGACGTTATTAATATATATATATATATATATATATATATAGGATTAAAGTTACTTGGGAGGGGCAGGATTGATTGCCACGAAGGAGTGATGAAGCGCTTTTTCTGCAAATATTCCGTGGACCAATCTCGGGAGGAATTCTTGTTAAATGACTTAAATGACCATGCCAGCACCTTTATTTAAGGCAGGTTAGAGGGGCATTTTCGGAATAAAAAACATGTGGGTGCTGCTGCCTTAGACAAGTGCACCCATAAATAACAAGGCTTTACTCTCGTCCTCTTTTTGTCTCCTCCCCTTTCTTTCTTGGCTTGACCGATCTGTCTATTCCCCCAATACTAATTACGTGTATATAACTCTTTTTTTCTTTTTCGTTTCTGTTTGGTTTTGTTGTGATTCTGAACTAATTCTTTTTTTTTAATTGGGTTTTAAACAAATCATTTATATGTAGATTGCTACTAACAAAAAATTATTTTTTACAGCCTTTCTTAAGTTATAAAAAAATAAATAATAATAACATAATATAAAAATGTTGTATAGGATGTAATTATAAAAGAAATCTAATAGAGAGGGTAAATTAGGTTTTTTTGACATCCAGAATTATTTAGTTTAGTAGTTGAGTCATGTGTGTAAATGTGTAATTTGAAAAAAATAATTAAATTTTTTATATTTAAATCTGTTATCACTTCATATCACTTGGTCATTGGTACATGTATCATCAATGATTTTTTTCACTTTAAGTTTTTAAATCAAAGAAAAAATTAAAAAAATTCAACCAATTCTTTCTTTTTATAGGAGGCCTGAAACAAAACCTAATGATAATAAAAAAAAAAAGTAAGAAGATATTAAGGATTAGAAAAAATTGATCTAAAACAAAAAAATGGATAGAAACAAGAAGGTTTGACGCGGAACAAGATAAAAAAATGAAATTAATAAAAGGATATATTCTGATTAATAGAGCAAAATTTTGATACCAAATGATATAGGCTTTTTGATCACGTGATCAAGCAACCTGCAATGAAGATGATACAACTTCTGGAAAGTCAAGAAATCAGATTTGATAAGAATGTGACATAATAAAAACTTGTCTTCAGGCATCAACACTATTAAAATAAAAAAACCCTACCCAACAAATAAGAATTC